CGGATAATACCAAAAACTGACCCATAGACTCATTATGAGCATTTTCTTCATTTGGCCAAAGCCTTCTTCTCTTTTCCTATAAAGGCTGACGTTCAGAAGTGAAACAAAAAGGAAGAAAAAACGTAGCCTATTCATCTTTTCCTTCTTCATTCTCTCGTATTTTTATTTAAGATAAATCTTATGGAAGTTTGATTTTTTCAAGCTGTAAGTGTGAGTTAATGATCAAAACACCTAAACTCCATACTTAGAAAGCATCTAGAGAGAGAGAGGGAGGGAGGGAGTAATGATAAAGAGAAAAAACAATGAAAGAATTGACTATTTGCATTTCAAAGCTCAAATTATTAATTGGGTTGGTGACTAGAACTCATTTATACAAGTTTTAGAAGGATTTAAGTAATTTTGAGCAAGTTAGGAATTTTTGAGTTAGAGTTCTTGGAATTAAATAAATTAGGTTGTGGAAGGTGGTTATGGATGTAATATCATGAAAGGATTTTAAACTGTATAGCCAACCAAGTATGGAACAAATTAAGGATTAGTTTAATCGATGTAATTGTTGCTATTTGGATATAATTGATGTAAATAAATGTGTGGATAATGGTTTAAGATAAAATTTATTGTTGTGTTAAGTTATAGAGAATTATTAGTGAGCCTTGAGTTTGGGTTTTTGAGATGAAAATGAGTAGAGCATGTTGATATTGGTGTGATGAAAATGTAAAGAATTATAGTAATGTTAATTATGATTAATATTGGAATAAAAATTAAAGGAGAGAATAAAGTTGACTATAGAAGAATTTTTAAGAAATTGAATCAATATAAGGAATCTTGTATGTGGTAATGTAAATGGTATTTTTTATATTATAAAAATGTATATGGATGGGTTGTTAGTTGGTGTTCGCAAATGGCATTATATGTTGTGTTAAATGTAAATGCTTCAACAATGTTAAGTCAAGGAAATTTGAATTAAAAAAATGTAGAGAAATCTTTTACGTTCACCTTTGAATGATGGTTAGTGAGTGATGGGGGGGGGGGGGGGGGGTATGGGGGGGGGAGGAATGGAAGAAATGATAGTAAATTATGGAGAAATATGAGTGATAACATAGATTCCATGTTGGAAAATGATTATAGGAATAAAAATGTTTGTATTATTGGTGTTGATTTGTTTAATGTAATAGAAAATTAATATTTGAAGTGCAAATAGAAAACATTATATTTGAATTTTTGGATGTATGATATAAAAATTTTCACTGATAAATTTTAAGATAATGATGTTAAAGTTATGATTATTATTTAGAAGTTATAGAAAACGCGATCAAAGCAAAACGACTTCTTAAAAACTTAGATAACAAGAGTTAAAGGATTGACTCTCCATTGAATTACAATGATAATTAAATTATATAATGTATTATTGTTGTTATTATTAATGGCATAAGTGATAACATGCACTATATTATGAGATGTAATTTTCCACAATGAAAGGAAAAATCTTGTATGTATTACTGTTGACCGTAATAGCAGAAAAACCTTGGACATATTGATTTTTATTGCAATAACGGAATTGCTATGCAAGAGTTAATATCAATTCCATTGATAGGGTTTGATGTATAATTTATTATTGATTGGAACAACAAAAATCATGTGTAATTTGTATTAGACCACCATGAAACAAATTAATATCGAAAAAAATATATGACAAAAACTCTAAAATAACTTACGTGTGAAATAACTAGAAGATGAACAAATTTTTTTATGGAAAATGTGCTTGACACCTTGATATTTTATTCAAAAAATTCATTATGTCAAGTAATGGAAAAGGAAGTTGATTGTGGTATGTTCTTATTTTCATATTAATATGTGTGTAACTAGTTACCCAATAATAAGGCTAATGTCCAATACTAAATGATGGAACTACATACCTTAGTTAATGAGAAATCACAAAAACTAGTTACACTAATTAATGAGACTAGTACCTTAATTAATGGACTAAAAAACTAGTTAATCATCTCTACATGTCAAATGTTAGATGACATTCAAGTTGAACTTGGAGCTTATAAGGTTTTATTACATGAATTTGTTTTTTCATCAGTACCTACCAAGGATTATGTTATAATCCATAATCCATATGTCCAAATGTAGCATCACTTGGATATATTTCTTAATGTTGATGCTCGTTTTAATGGAAATGATTTGGTAGAAGTCATTCATTCTTACTGGTATTGGTTTGAAAAACAATTTTGATTTAATTCAACTTCAAGTGATAATGTTATAAACATTGTGACAAATTGATCATAAATGTAAGGAAAAAAAAACAAAGAAAGAAAAATATTTAGAATGTTTTAGTTGATAATTCATTCTATCTCAATAGCCAAACAAACAAACAAAGATTAGCTACATGATTTATTATATTAGACTTAAGTTTTCATTTATAAATTTAGTATGTTTTAGTAATTTAGTATGTTTTAGTTAAAATAATTTAGTACGTTTTAGTTAATAATTGTTTGATAATTCATGTCATTGACTTGCTTAATTTGAAATTATTACTGAAATTTTTGTTGGTGCAAGACATTTAAAATAGAGAATTACAAAATTTAAATGGGTAGTTATCCACTAGGAGGAGTAAGTGAAATCATTTATTCAGCTAATAACAATACTACTAATCAAGCGATAGCTATGAAAATGATTCCTCTTTTACATGCTAAAATTACTAAAATGTTGGTTGGAGAAATCTATTTGTTGTATGAAATAAAATATCCCAACATTGTCAGGTGTGCTATTTCCTCTAATCAAAATAGAGGTTTTGTCCTTCGATGACTCTTAATATATATACGAAATGGATTCATAGGTTATAACGCGTCTTCTTTTATTATAGCAAGTTGTGCTTGGTGTTTGAGCTCTTCAATTTCAATATGAGAGAGTTTTTGGAGGCAAAATCACGAAGATTCAAAGATCTAGACATAGTAAAGATAAAAGGATTATTTAACTTGCATCATGTATTTAATTGAGAAAAGTTTTAAGTGTTGCAGGAGCTTATGCAACAAATTCTCAGTGGTACCTTGTACTACCACAACCTTGAAATTTTACATCGTGACTTGAAACCAGAAAATATACTCATCTCTGGAAAAAAGCTAGTGCTCAGTGACTTTGGATCAACACGGGATTTCATTCACTCCAACACTACACTTAGTCCTCACATGTGAGAAAATAATGTTTTTACTTACTAAACGCATCCATGTTTTTCTACTAAAATTCTTCGTTATGTAAAAGTAAAATCTTCGAAAGATTAAGTATATTTTGATTGAATGCTCTAGCAAGAAATTGGATCCTGTAACCGACAAGCAACCACCTCAGGTTAAAAACAAAACATTACACTTAGCAACTATAATACAAGCTCCTATATTAGCCAAGGTACAAAGAAAAGTCTATTACTAAAAAAATTAAGGAAATGGTGTTACACCTATTTTCCAGGCATGCAGCAAAGCTAGCTTGCGCGCCAGTACGATAGAAACAACCTATACACTAATGACACTGCAAAGTAATCTATTCTAGTAGCAGTATAAAATGCAGTAGCTCCTTTATTTTTTTTCCCTTAATATTTGAATTCTCATACAAGTACTTGGAGCACATGGTTATGCTTATGCTTCTTAAATCACTATTATTGCGTATAAAGCACCAGAGATGCATTTAGGTGCTCCAACCTACACAATTGTTGTTGATGTTTGGTCTTTAGGATGCATATTTACTGAAATGGCAAAGGAAAATGATTTATTTGAAAGGCATTCAAAGATCAAAGTATTAAAAAAGATATTCAAGTGTCATTATTTTTTATACAGATTAACTTTCTTGCTTATTTTATTGTCTATCTACTCATTTGCTCAAGATTTTGTATAAAAGCGTAACTAGAACCAAGGAGAACGAGTAGTGTTCATTACTATCATTCCCTCTCGTCATTCCCAAAAATGAACCTAAGATAAAGCAGCAATTAGACTTCATAGTTGTTTAAGTACTTTAAATGTATTTTTATTTTCTAATCATAAAATTATGTTGTTGCTCCTAATATTTAACTGAAATAATATCACAGTTGAACGATAGTGGAATTAATCTCCTTGGAGTTTAAGTACCTATTTGAACTTGTTTATATAATATAACTACATAAAAAAAAAAAAAAAGATGTCTTTAAGATTGGATATTGTTGGCTAAGTATGTTCAAGATTTTCTAGTTTAGATTGTTTTTATACTTTGAATTTATTCGTTTTCTTAGATTGTGATTTGTTGGTGTTTGTTCTTTGCATGTTTCTGTTTTTAGGTTTTGTTGTTTTCTTCTGTTTTGTAGGGATTGTAGCACCAATATCAGATAACTCAGTAAATTTTTTACTTCTTCAGTTAATTAATTTCTAAAAGGTTTTATTAATAAAATATACACACCTATCTTGATATATACAACTGCACTTACGCGCATCTCAAATAGAAACAAGTAGCTTTTAATCACAATGAGATGTTATCCTAGGTCTACAAGAAAAATCAAGACAATAAAAACTAAATTACTGCCACTGTATAGTTGACCCAGAAATATTCTCATTATCAAACAACAAATATACATTCTGGATTAGGTATCTTTAGGTAGTAAATATATAGAATTTGAATACCTATCCACTATTCAGGATGTTATATTCCCTTTTATGCCAAACATCAAACTATTATCTTTATATCACGCAAACTCTTTATTTATTTTATGCTTTGATTCCTTCAGCATGTATGATGAAATTTGTTATTGTCATCGTCATGTTTACTTGTTGATGTGTGCTTTTGTAAAAAATATTAGTTCTCGATCCTCATGCTAGAATCACCGCAGAAGCTACTTTGGCACTTCCTTACTTCACAAAGTAGGTGAATAGAAAAATTTAAATGAAACTGCTGCATTTATTATGGTATGTAACTTTATTGGTTTTTTCATCTGACATGGCAAGCTTTAAGTCTTTTGAATAGGTTATCATGATTCTTCTTTTTTTTTATAGTGCCTCTATGCATTTGAGGAGTCGTTAGGTTTTTATATTAGTAGAGTTTTATATGCCCCTAAACTAATAAATTTTACATGTTAAAAAATCAAATATTTCATGCTGATAGTTTTAAAATGTTTAGGCCCTGTGATCAAGTTTTTCTAGATTGCGAAGGCCCAAAAATAAGCACTCTCAAGGTCAGATTTGGCCTTAAGAGTTTGGACTAAATCATCATCCATTATATTTGCACCTTTTATTTCCATCTCAACAAATAGAACTTCCTATAAATAATCATATTAAAGTGTTTGAAACTAGTCATGGTTCGGCCTTAAATGAGCAATAATTTTAAAAATAGATGTCAAGCAATGACATGTATTATATTCCCTCCCTGAGCTCTACCTATTCCTTTACATAACTTTTTGAGAAAAATAAAAAAATTTATTAAAATAAAAGAAAGTGCAAACAAAAAGGGATACCACATTTTATTACTAGGGCTTAAGAATTTTAAAACTACCAACATTGAATGTTTGATTTTTTAACATGTAAAATTTATCAATTTAAAGGTCTATAAAGCCCTGCCCAACGACAAACATCCTCAAATGCAAAGAGGTATTATCTAAAAAAAAAAAAGAATTATGATAGTCCATTCAAAAAAAACTTAAAACTTGTCATATCGGATAAAAAAACATAGCATAGGTACGTACCATAACAAATCCAGCAGTTTCATTTAAATTTTTCTATTCACCTGCTTTATGAAATGGGATGTGTCAAAGCAATTTCTGCGGTTATTCTAGCATGAAGATCGAAAACCAATATTTTTTGTAGAAGCACACATCAACAAATAAACATGATGATGACAATAACAAATTTTATCACAAATACTAAAGGAATCAAAGTACAAAATAAATGAAAAGTTTACGCAATGTAAAGATAATAGTTTAAGGTTGAGCATGGAAGGGAATATAGTATCTTGGATAGTAGACAGATATTCAAATTCCATATATTTACTACCTAAACACATCTAATCCAAAATGTTTGTTTGTTGTTTTGCAATGAGAATATTTTAGGGTCAATTATATAGTGGCAACAATATAGTTTTTGTTGTCTTAATTTTTCTTTTAAACCTAGGAATGTGACTAAAAGCTATTTGTTTCTCTTTGTGATACGCATAAGTACGCTTGTGCATATTAAGAGAGGTGTACACACTTTATTAATGAAATCTTTTGGAAATTGATTAACTAAAAAAAAAATGTATTGAGCTATTTGATGTTGGTGTTACAGACTCTACAACACAAAAGAAAACAACAGAACCTAGAAGCAGGAACATACAAAGATCAAACTCCCAAACACCAACAAATCATAACTCAAGAAAGCAAATAAATTCAAAGCATAAAAACAATCTAAGCTATAAAATCTTGAACATACACAGCCAAGATTGTCCAATCTCAAAGTCACCTTTTCTTTTATGTAGTTATGTTATATAAACAAGTTCAAACTGGTACTTAACTCCAAGAAGATATATTATATAAAAAAGTTCAAACTGGTTCTTAACTCCAAGAAGATCAATTCTATTATAGTTTAACTGCAGCACCACTTCAGTTAAATCCTAGGAGTAGTAATGTAATTTTATAATTGGAAAATAAAAATGCATTTAAAGCACCAAAACAGCTATAGAATCTAACTGATACTTTACCTTAGGTTCATTATTGAGAATAGCGAGAGGGAATGATGGTAATGAACATAACTTGTCCTCCTTGGGAATTCCAATTATGATTCATAAGAAATCTCGACCAAATGAGCAGGTTTGAATAGGATATAGACAATAAAATGAGCAAGAAAGTTAATCTTCACAAAATTCATGATACCTGAATATCTTTTGTAATACCTTATCTCTAAATGCTTTCCAAATAAATCATTTTCTCTCGCCATCTCAGCAAATATGCATCGTATAGACCAAACATCAACAATATTTGTGTAGGTTAAAGCACTCAAAAGTATTTTTAACGCCCTATATACAATAGTAGTGACCTAAGAAGTGCAAATACAATTACGTGCCCTAAATACTTATATGGGAATTCAGACAGTTAGATGGAAAAAAAAAATAAAAGAGATATTGCATTCTTTGCTGCTACTAAAACACATTATTCTATAATGTCATTAGTGTATAGGTTGGTTTTGTCATCTTGGAGTGTAAAACCAATAGCTATAGTCACTAACTAGCTCTGCTATCTAGAAAATGAGTGCCGCATCATTTCCTCTTGGTTTCATTTTTTATTACTTCGGTTATAGACTTTTCTTTGTACCTTTAATGATATAGGAGCTTGTATTATAGCTACTAGATGTAATCTTTTTTTTTTTTACTTAAGGCAATTGTTTGTGGGTTACAGGATCCAATCTCTTGCAAGAACATTCAATCAGAATATATCTAATCTTTTAAAGGTCTTACTCTTACAGCGTGAAAAATTTTAACAAAAAAACACTAATATGTTTAGATCAGTAAGTAAAAACATTATTTTCTCACACTTGGAAGCTAAGTGTGATGTTAGAGTGAATGAAACCCAGGCTAATCTAAAATCACTAAGCGTCAACTTTTCTCAAGAGATGAGCATATTTTCTGATTTCAAATCACAATGTAAAATTTCAAAACTATAGCAGTATAAGGTACCACTGAGAATCTGTCGCATAAGCTCCTACAACATCTAAAATTTTTCTCAATTAATAACACAATGCAAGTTAAATAATCTTTTTACCTTTACTATGTCTGGATCTTTGAATTTCTGTGATCCTGCCCCCAAAAGCTCTCTGATATTGAAACTGAAGAGCTCAAACACCAAGCACAGCTGGCCATCATAAAAAAAAAACGTGTTGTAACATGAGAATAAACTTCATATATATATTAAAGGTCATTGAAGGACAAAACCTCTTTTCTTATTAGAGGAAACAACACCCCTAACAATGTGGGGTTGTTCTATTTTATACAGCAGATAGATCTCTCCAGCTTACCTCTTAGTAATTCCAGTTTGCAAAAAAAAAAACATTTTCACAGCTACCCCTTGATTAGTAGCTTCTTCAGTAGTTGAATAAACAATTCCATAGGCTTCTCCTAGCAAACAATCATCCATTTTAATTTTGTAGTTCTCCATTTCAAATGTCATGCGCCAGCGTGGGCTATAACTACAATAGTCCTTCATTTCATTAGAGAATCCATGGCATCCTACAAAATTTCCACCATGAGAACTCGTAAAAAACCAATGTGAGGAATAAATGGTATCAAGTTTTTGGGGGAAAAAAAAATCTAAGAAACTAAAACGAAGACTGTTTATGTTGTCATGCAAACTGATCTGCACTAGATATTCACTTTCAGCATCCAAAGCACTAGTAGCTTCATCAAGGAGGAGGATCCTTGGGTTCATCAGTACGGCTCTAGCAACTGCTACTCTTTGTTTCTGACCACCTGAAAGTCTTAGCCCACGTTCTCCTATGAAAGTTTGATATTTATCTGGGAATTTTGATATGAAATCATGTGCATTGGCCATTTTCTGCAATATCAACGTTACGTTAGCTAAAGCTGAAAGTTAAAGTTAGAGGAATTGTGTGGCAAGTAAGAAGAGGTAGAAAACTTACTGCTGCATTTTCTATATCCATGCTACTGACTTACCCTCACACCCACAGGCTATATTCTGCTCCATAGAGCAGTTGAAAAAAACAGGCTCCTGGCTCACTATACTGGTCTGTACAAATACAATCTAGGGCTGTGTCTATTATGGATAGAAAATCTCTAGACCATAAAAGAACCAAGTTATGAAACAAAAAACTAATCAAGCATATCTAAAATATACAAGCATCTCATGTCAGGGAGAAATAAAGTATATCACCTTCTGTTTTCCTATCTGATATGAAAAGGGAAATGAAAATTACCTTCCTGTGTAGATGTTGGTGTGATATTTCTACTAGTGGAACTCCATTTAAGAGAACCTTTCCCTTGATTGGTTCATAGAACCTTTCAATCAAGTTTGCTATTGTGGTCTGCAACAAGCAAAATAATATAAGCATAAGAGGCATGTGACATTCAACTTTATGTTTCAAACCTCAAATTTAGTCTATAATCACTCCAATTGGAATTTTCTGTATAAGTAATGAAGCAGCATTAGAACTCAGTATATTTCTTAAAAGAATAGAAAAAAGGAAAAGAATGGTACTTTTCCTCCACCGCTCGGGCCAACAAGAGCAACTTTTGAGCCAGGCTGCAGTTTCAATGTTGTTCCCTGTAATTGAAAGAATGTATCCAGTTTTATCATCAGGATATGACATGAACACATAGTAACATCTGAGAGGTAGGTAAGGGAAGCTAATTTACGTGGAGAACCATATGGTTTGGACGAGATGGATAAGCAAACCAGACATCATCTAATTCCACATCACCAACTTGTTCCCTATAATAGAAGGAAAACCCATAATCACTTGACAAATTCCTTCTCGTTTTCAAGTCACAATATGCATGGATTTTATAATTTTTGTGTTTTATTTTTCATGTGATATTTGCTTTTTTCAACACAAACCAGCAAGATGAGGAGGATCTTGACTGAAGAACTATAGCCATGATCCAGAATAAAGAGTTAAAAAGAATATACTTGACTAGATGATGATTAAGTAATTTCACGGTAACCACTGAAATTCATAATTTCATATTCAATTGCTTCCTAAAAAGCAAGAATGATGGATGGGAAAAATGACTCTTAGTCCACACTCCACAGATATGTAATGGCCTAATTGACACTCTCAAAACAGGATTGCTGTTCAGCATATTTGTACACCAATATCACCTATTTTGTATCTTATTCTCAATTGTTAACAAGCATGGTTAACTCATGGAATCATTCATTCCTATTTTATATCTTATTCCAGTTCACAGAGGACAGGAACTCTTTTCTGATTAGAGGAAACAGCACACCTGATAATGTTGGAATGTTCTATTTCATATAACAGATAGACCTCTCCAGCCAATGTCTTGGTAATTTCAGCCTGCAAAAGAGGAATCATTTTCAAATTTCACAAGTCAGTCACAAATTATCAAACAATTCTTATTTAAAATACACCAAATTCACAAATCAAGATTTAGCCTAATTCCGATTTGTGTAGCTGTTTGTTTGGCTACTGAGAAAATAAATTGAACTCCAAAACTTTTCTCTTGTATAGAACGAACAGTAGATGATTAATTCTTCGGACATTTAGGTCTTTGGTTTTGATTTTCTCTTCAGTTGAATTTTCCTAGCAACCAAACAAAGGCTAGAAAACTCACCTCCTGAAGAAAGAGAACAAATCTGCCAGAGTTTGCTGGCTGCTTTTGAGAGAAAATGAGCACCAACAAACATATATATTGCACTGGGGATTGATTTCAAATTTAAGAACCCTGGATTTGGATAACGTACCCTTGGATCAAAGTGACATAGATACCCATCACCTCTGATTTTCCAAAACTTGCGCTGTCAAAGAATGATTGGATAAAGAATTTGTTTATTCATCTTTTCAAATAAACAAGGTGAAATCCGTAGGTGGCTTTTTAACTTAGGGCTCAAACCTGGACAAGCGGTGGAAACTGATAGGCTCAACCCTGGACAAGCAGTTGGAAACTGCTAACAGTGAACCAACCTTTTGGTTTCAGCCTTCTCTTTTACTACAGTTTGTCGATTTGTAGTAGAAGGGCCTATGGCTGCAGGTTTCATTTGAGAGTACCTTGTGTCAGCAATTGAGAAACAAAAGAAAATACCTGGTATTCAGAAGCCATTTTAGGTGAAGATTCTTACATTGACATCTTGCTGTGCACCTTCTGCCGCAACTACAAGGTTTGATATCATTGTTAGCAGCTCCTGGCACACATTCCTCCTCTTCTATCTTCTCCACTTCCTTGTATCAACAATGTGAGATCAGAAGCGATAAAAAGTAAGAAATTATGAATGGTTTTAACAATTTTGCCGACACACAAAGTTGAAGAGATTCACCTGGGAGACAACATTTGGACAATTCATATCTGCTTTTCCCTGCATAACAAGAAGATTCATTACCAATGACCTTATGGGACACTTTCTTTGAATCAAAACGAATGTCTGGCAGTAAAATATGTTTCCTTGATCCCTTTCCTATTTGTTTGAGATTATCACTGAATTGGAGTCAAATTTGTGCCATATACGTTCATGTTGCTTAAAGTCGCTCAATGCAACTATGATCAGCGGAAGTAAGTCATTTTACTATACAGCCAAAGAGAAGAAACATATGGCAGAAATTAACAAGGGGAGGCATTTCTAAAGCCATACTTGAGATATATAGTTTCCAGTCAACTGTTGGATTGCAATCATTCACGGAATTTATCAATGAAATTTGGTTTATTCTGAATTAAATAAAGTCCCAAAACAGTATTCTACTTGTTTCTACTTTCTATATCACTCGCTAATCTGATTGGTATGAAACATAATATCCACAGTTTGTGTGTTTTCCTGCTGGGTATCAAGATCTTTTAATGGATTATAGAATGAAAACTGAAACTAACCTGTGGTCCTAGATTCTTTACTTTAAGTAAGGCTTCTTTGCAAACAATTTCATGTTGTCGTGCTTTCAGCTGAAATGATACTAACGAATTCTTGAGTCAGGCACAAATCAAGGACAGGATTCCACAAGCTGAAAGACCAGAATTCAAGGCAAGCAGAGGTGTTGTTTCAAACAAACTCACCTTTTCTCTTCCTAAATTAAGCTCCTGTTAAATAAGAAAGAGTGCATAAAATCAATATCACTCAAATATGAGGTTAGGTTAGCTTTAAATATTAATGCAAGGAAGAAACATACTGCTAACATCTGGCTGTTTGATTGAGCAAGATTCCAGTTCTGTGCCTGCAATTTCTGATAATTCATTCGCAGATCCCTCAATTTATTTCCACTCAATTCTATGATTTTACTGTTAACAATCATAGTTAAGAAAATGCAAATCCATCCAAATTATTGTCCAAAAAGAAAATGTTAGAACTTAGAAGTTAATTCTTTTCTTAGATCTCTTCTCCCGAAAAATGAAAGGAGTAAAGTTTCTTACTTCTCCAATTTCCCATAATTTTCTTTCCCAACAACCAAACAAAGGAACACACCAAAGGATACTTTCTCTCTTCTACCAGTTTCAGCAGCATTTCTTTTTCCTGTTTCACCTAGAAAAAGAAAAGGAAAAAAACAAAAACCAAAGCAATTCCTTTATTAATACTTGCATAAAACATCATTTAAAGAACGATAAAAAGAAAATGACATGCATACCTGAAGAAGCTGATTAATTAAGTCTTCATTGGATTCAGAATTCTGGGACTGCTCTACCATGAGGCCAACCAATTTGTGTTGTGCCTGAGTGTTGGTAATATCAGAGAGTCTTCTCCTCATTATGTTACCAAACGATGATCTTTTTGCCATTCTTTCTCCTTTCATGCTTATCTAACTGTTCTTTGACACCCTAACAAAGGAAAATCAAGAACGTTCAATAATTTCAACAGAAAATGGAGTGGATGTTTTGCCTGGGTCCAACTTTGGATTGCAGGGCAATGAAAAGGACGAAAAAACTTCAAGAAAGATTATTCGATACAAGAAATTAAAAGGCCTCAAAGGACAAAAAGAGAGAAGGGAATCAATCAGTGAAATGGGAAAGTGTTTGTTTTTCATCTTTTTTCTTGAATTTGAGCGAGGAATAAATGGTTTGATTCAAAGAAAATGAGAGAGAAAAGAAAAGAAAATACAGAAGAAGATAGCCCAAAAGGAAAGAAACATTAGGTTATGGACCGCAGGTCTGGAGCTCTAATGGCTTCCCGAAGCTTAATAAAGTGTGAGAAAGACAATATTCTAGTATTTGATTGGAACATGTTCGTCATTCCTCTCATTGAAACAAATGGAGCTGGAGCTGCTTGTTCCCGAACATAAAACTTTTACTAAACATAAAAGAGTTCAGCAACTGAAAACATTTAGGAGAGTCAAAAGAGGCATACCTCCCTCTCCTCGCTGCGTCTTATTTGGAACAGATGAACAAGGGTTAGAACTGCCACTGTTGCTAAGACCCAGCAGTGGTAATTTGGTAATAATGTCATCTTTCATAACTAGAAAACATTAAAAAATATTCCAATTATAACATTAACCCCTTCGACACTGTAGCTGATTTGTCACCCTACAATGGTTAAATAAGCTAAGCCATTCTCCTAAATAATGACCGGATTGAAAGTTAACTTTCAGGCCAAACCCTCTTATCACCCACCACAATAATGACCGGATTCTGGAGAGAAGCGTAGCAGGCGATAGATAGCTTGCCACTACGAGCTACCCGTCGTTCAATTAAAAAGAAAATAGAAAAAAAGGAGTGGGCGACGCATGGTGGGGGAAAAAAGACAATTCCTGGCCAAGGCGCAGTTCGGTTTATTTTATGAAAGTTATGTGTGTGGGCCTACTCCATTATCGTCTAATCAAGATTTTTGTTTTTTGTAAAAATATTTACCCCTTTCCATTAATTATTTTTACTTAAATTTAAATTTTTTTATTTTTTTATATTTTTAGTTGTACGTATACTTTAAAGATATTAATTTGGTTTGTAGCAAATTTTGTCTTATATTTTATATAAATTCGATTGTTTACATGACAATTGTATAAAAACAAAAATCTTTTGTTATTAACAACAATATTAATCTGTTAAGATAAGATTAATAAAAGCATTTAAAATCAAAAGGGTGGTAGTGTAAGATATTTAGAAGCACAATCTTAACATTATTATTATTATTATTATTTTCACGTTAAAAATTGACTCGAAATCATATATTTTTGCATAAACAACTTGTTTATGTTTCTAAATTAAAAAAAAAATGATATTCTTAAATGCATTTAGCACAATAACACATTATTTTATAATTGTCTTGAATACTTCTTAATTTATGTCTCAATCTCTATATATTTCCGACAATACATACATATATATATATATATATATATATATATATGTCTCTTCTATGAGAGTTCCTTCTTTCTTGAGATATAATTAACCGAACAGAGACACGATCTTAGATTATTTTTTACCTTTAAATTAAATGTTCTAAAAAAACACATGCAAATTAATTAATTGTATTATTTCATCAAATAAAGAAAGGAACACAAATTCTGTATGCACGATACTCAACAATGGTATAGTCCTCATAAGACAATCCTCGACCAAAAACAGAGTACGACAAAGTGTAGCCCCGGGACGGATAAGTGTAGCCGAACTCTCTTGGGTATTCTAAATCACTAGATCTGTGTGTGTGTGTGTGTTCGATTACATGGGAGCGGAAGCAGGGGCAGAGGCTATGGATGCCGATTCGGAAGCAGAAGGTCCAGGGGTGGCACCGGAGCTCATAAGCTGAATCATGGACCGGTGAGGGTTGTAGCGTGCAGCATCACAGAGGTCAGGCAAAAAGGCACCTGCGGGAGTCAAGAGACATTATTGAGAGACAAAATAGCCATTTGTGGGAATATTGATCACTGCTACAATAAAGTTGAAGTCAGTACACAATTTTTAGCCATGGTGGCCTTTACACAAGGGCTTGTGATTCTTTGATCACTGGGAAAGGCAATTCTTTGATTCAAGGCGAAGCAAGCAAGCCAACCAAATGCCTCGGTTAGTTGAAAGGGAAGGTTCAGAGCAGAACATGAAAGGGAAGGGAAATTATATAGAATTTCGAGTGTTAGAGAGGCGAAGGGAGACATTATATTAATTTTGAGTGAGTCCAATATGGTATGAATTATTGTAAAAAATGAAAAGTTGTAACTAATATTTGTTTATATTTTATAATTTTAAAATATTTTGAAGTATTTTGCATTATTTTAAATAAAAATTCTAATTTTTTTTAAATTATTTTTATATTTTATAATTATCCCTTGACTCTGGTCTTGCAAGTATGAACGATATTGGAAGCATTCCAACAGGTGTGTCATGAAATTTTAAGGCAATAAAACAAGATATTGGAATCATTCAAACAAGACGGATTTACAAAGAAAATAAAATAATATTTATTTTATTTTTTAAAATTTATCTTTAACATCAATATATAAAAATAAATAAAAAAATTATACTATATTTAAATTATTTTTTACTTAAATATATATTAAAATAATTTTTTTATTTTTAAAAATTTATTTTTAATATCATCGCATCAAAATAATCTAAATACATGAAAAAATTTAATTTAAAATAAATAAATAAATTTAATTTTTTTAAAACATATTTTTTGAAAAAAATAAAAAATTACACATTACACAATCACAAAGATGCGGTTAAATTATTGATTTTTCTACAAATCTCTATGCTTATTGCTATCAAACCCCACCTAACATCTTCTCTTTTTTGTTCTTTTTTTCTTCTCACCAATTCAATTGAAAATCTTTACCAAAATGAGAAGGAAATAAAAAAAAAACCCAAAAAGAAAAAGAAACATTCACCAATTTTACATTTCAGGACCCCCCAACTAGAATTTTAGCACTATTCCCTTTATTTAATCATGAGCCAAAAATATTCCTTATAAAAAAAATATTGTCGAATTAAACACATGCATAGATTGTAAGGTCTTACCTTCCCCAGCAGCCAGATTGAAGTAAAGGTCAACAATGTTGGGGCAATTCTGGTAACAAGCAGGAGAGCAAAGCTTGGCGGTGAATTGAGGCTCAAGGAGTGCATCAGAAGAAATACCAACGGAGTTCCGGTCAACCCCACAAGCCTTGACACAAGCATCAGTCTCTATGTAATCTGCCATTTTCTCAACCACCACCTCGGATGTCCGGCACTGGTACTCAACGGCACCATTCTTCGTTGCATATGTCTCCAACAAGCACCTCTTGCCAGATGATGAGATGGTAAATGCACAAATGTCATTTGGCAATTCCTCGCATACAATTTCAGCTGCCAATTCAAAACAAAACCACCCGCTTTTAATAAAACTCATTAAAACAAATCCCTAACAAGAATACATGTTTGTGTGTGCGTGTGGGTAC